ATGTTAGTATTATTTAGTTTTTCGTCTTCTTCTCTCAATCTGATGAAAGTTGTTGTTTTTTTAGATACAAATGATTCTAGATACTTGAGATCTGATGGTAGTGATATTTTAGATACTTGAGATTTAGTATTTGATCTATAAAGATTTCATATTTGTTGATTTTTGATGACTTGAAGCTCTCTGCAGATGCAAAAGAGTCTGAATATGGATGGGACTGCGTTTGAATCATTACGGTGTCTCTGTTGATGTTTCCTGTGATGTATCTACAAGTAGGCCTAGTATTCAAAAAATGCAAGCTAGGATCATCTTTATGAGACTAGGCCACTCAATACAGAGAATAAATGAATGCACTTGGACATGGAAATGTTACATCTGAACCACCTACTGCTTCTGCTGCAATGTCATCTTCAACTCTTCTCCTACCTTCATTAGCTATTAGTAAGCCAAAACTGTCCCAAGGTTCAAGTATGTAGTGGATTAAAAACATCGGTTGTGAAGCATCTTGGCTCTGGAAAATGCATGCCTATTTCAGAATTTTTGTGAAGCACTTTTCAGAATTTAATCATCTTTGTAATATGATTGTATCTAATAGATTATTTCTTGGTTGTGGCAGTTTTCCTCGGTTCACTGTGAGTGGTGTCAGTGCAGTCATCTTGCTTAGCAGTTTGATTACTCTTGGCTACATCGACGAGGATGAAGAAAGGCACAACTTTGAACACAAAGGAGGTAAGGCCTGAAGCTTTTTTTTGGCCTATTCATACAGCACAAAAATGAGAAAGTTATTTGAATATAAGATTCTGCGAGCCATCAATTGGTTGGTCTCACTTTTTTAAAAAACTGCTGCTTGCTTAAGAGTTTCTATTCATTTGCTGAGTTGGTTATCATCTGGTTAGAACGTTTAAACTTGGATATTATACTTGAGCCGCATTTTCTTACTGGCATTCTATATTTGATTCTATTACAGGGTTTCTCTGCCCATTCGTCCCATACCTTCCAGTTCTTTGCATATTGATCAACACCTACTTGATCATCAACATTGGGTGAGTTAGTCTGATGGACCCATGCATGATACCAGTATATTGGGATGTTTCTAAACCCTAGCTGGTAATTTGTAATGGCAGAGCTGGGACATGGATCAGGGTCTTGGTATGGCTACTTATTGGAAGCATGATCTATCTCTTCTATGGCCGATCTCACAGCTTACTGAACAATGCGGTTTACACGACTTGTACCAGAAAAACAACAGATCATCTTGCTTAAGATTGGTGGTTCAATGCAGCAGCTGAAGGGAGTCGAGCTCAAGCTTTGTTGTTGCTGAAGTAGCATCGAAAGAGAATTAAACAGTTTGGCACAAGATTAAAATACATACAAGAACATTTCATGTACATTGTTAAGTCATTCAAAATGTATATCTCTTATATATGCCAAATTGGACTTTGAAGTAGTCCATTTCATTGGACTTTGAATCATCATGGTACTAACATGAAAGAAGACAGTGTTGTGGTTAGTATACTATTGAGGATCGGATCATCAGCCTTATCGACTTAGGCAATGAGTTGAGACTTCCTTCACCTTAATTAAACTCAGCAGATTCTCTCTCACATAAATCCAAAAAAAAAAAAAGGAAACAAAGGCAAAGAAAGAAAAAGGAAATAACAGAAAAAAGGAAATCTTTTATGTGACCGTTAATTAATTGTGATTAGCAATTTCCTTTTTCTTTTGAACCTCTTTGCTTATAAATAGATGAGACTCTATTTCTTCCTTGTGAGAGAAATCAAAACTCTCTGTTTCTCGCTTCTTCTTCTTCTTCTTCTTTGAAATAAATTAGGTCGCTGCTAAGAGTTAGGGTGATCGGAGCCGGAAAGCATATATCATCGTGAATGATGATATCCTCTGTCATCTTCAGTCGCCCTAAATCCACCGGATAATGATCTAGCCACCGAGGTCGATGTCACAATTAGGGGTGGATGTCGTAAGTGGTGGATGATGTTGGAAACTGATCCTATTCTTAATCCTACTTGAGATGAGATCAAGACAAGAGTGGAGAAGATGAGAAGAGACTGCAACAAAAGAGAGGAGAGAGATCGTAACAAGAGAAGAAAGAAAGAAAGAAGATGTGTTTGTGTTTGTGTCGTAAGAGAAAGAACAAAAAGGCCAATGGGCCTTGGTGTTGAATTGAAGGCCCAAATATTAAACGGGTTATTCACATGGATGTCACCGAAGAACGATGGGCTCAAATCTGACTTTAGAATGGCTTTTTCGTATCGGGCCTTCTTTGCTACCAAATCCAACCAGGTATTCCTTTCTTCATTCTTATTTTTTGTTTTTGTTTCCTTTTATTTTTCTTTAATATTAGTTTAAATATTTAATTAGTTTATAAAAATTAAGTGTTAGTTAAACTCAGTGTTCAAGAAAGCGCTAGACGCTACTTAAACTATAAAAATTTTACTAAAATTTAAAACAAATTTAACACTTAAAACTTTTAACTAAAACTATGTTAATTTTACTATTATTTTTTAAAAGTTAGTTTAAGTGTTAAATTTTAAAAACGTCGAAAACTAACCGCGCCTAGGCATCCTGTCCTTAGTTGGTCCGTAAGCTTTGGTGTTCGAAGTTCGGCAATGTTTTCACGTAATATAGATTTAACACTTAAACTCATTTTTAAAAAATAATAGTGATTTTGACTAAAATTTATAATAAATTTAACACTTAAACTTAAAAAATAAGTTTTTTTAAAACTAAAACCATGGCAATTCACTAAAACTTTTTAAAAATTAGTTTAAGTGTTAAATTTTAAACACGTCGAAAACTAACCGCGCCTAGGCATCCCGTCCTTAATTGGTCCGTAAGCTTTTGGTGTTCGAAGTTCGGCAATGTTTTCACGTAATATAGATTTAACACTTAAACTCATTTTTAAAAAATAATTGTGTTTTTGACTAAAATTTAAAACAAATTTAACACTTAAACTTAAGAAATAAGTTTTTTAAAACTAAAACCATGTCAATTTCACTAAGTTTAAGTGTTAAATTTTAAACACGTCGAAAACTAACTGCGCTTAGGCATCCTGTCCTTAGCTGGTCCGTAAGCTTTGGTGTTCGAAGTTCGGCAATATTTTCACGTAGTATAAATTTAACTTAAACTCATTTTTAAAAAATAATAGTGATTTTGACTAAAATTTAAAACAAATTTAACACTTAAACTTTAAGAAATAACAATTTTTAAACTAAAACCATGTCAATTTCACAAAAATAATTAAAAATTAGTATAAGTGTTAAATTTTAAACACGTCGAAAACAAACCGAAATCCGTACGTAGTTGGTCCGTAAGTTTTGGTATTCGAAATTCGGCAAATAACTCTTTACATGTTTAAAAGTTAACCACGGTACGTAAAAGAAGAGATAACCATGTGGAAAAATATTTAAGGCCTAAAACAACATTTTGGGAAGTGATTTAACAATAATTTTTTTCATTTAATATCGCTGTTGTCGGAATGTCAAATCTAGCTTTAGACCACTCTTCTCTTCTCCACAAGGACGAAAATGGCGGTTTTGTTTCAAATCCCTCACTTTATGCCACATGAAGCTCTCTTTCTCCATTTACTTGGTTGCCCAAATCCTCTTGACCTCACTCATTCCCTTCGTTACCGGAACACACTCGAGTTACCGTACAGTTGAATAACGTACAAGTCATCAAAAGAAGGAATGGGATTGAATTGCGCCGTGATGAGGTATCTGTGTTCTGATTTTGTTTTGGTTTTGAAAGAGAATGACAAATTCAAGTTTCCTGGTGGAGCTGATCAGTACTTGGATCAGAAGATCTCAAAGGTTAATCGATTTCAATGAATCATTATTTGTATGTGTAGCTGATTCCTGGTATGTATCACCTTTGTTGTTCTTGACATTGGATGTGGTGTGTTCGTCGGAGGGATCGACGATGAGGACAAGCGGTTAGTTGGTTTACATTGGTTTTGACATTAAAATTGATTTAAATGGTAGTGAAATTAGAATTGATTTTCGGTTCGGTTTAAACTGGTTTAGAGAAGAAAACAAAAAATATTCACGCGATGGAAAATTTGGAGAGAAGTGCGTCGATTGAAGAAGGCATGATTCCGAAAGGTAAAACCCCTTCAGGAATTGCTCTCACTCGCGCAACGCGCACTTTGTGCGAGTGGGTCTGAAATAGAGCCTTCTGATTGGCTTAAAAACTCTTAAAAAAGTGAAATAGTATACATGTTGCTAGCTCCTCTCTTATATGTTATTATTTAGTTTTTCGTCTTCTTCTCTCAATCTGATGAAAGTTGTTGTTTTTAAAGTTACAATTGATTCTAGATACTTGAGATTTAGTATTTGATCTACAAAGATTTCACATTTAGTGGTGGCTGGTGATTTTTGATGACCCAAAGCTCTCTGCAGATGCAAAAGAGTCTGAATGTGGATTTTCCAACTCGTGGGACCACATAGTGCTTCTGCTGCAATGTCATCTTCAACTCTTCTCCTACCTTCAAAAGCTATTAGTAAGCCAAAACTGTCCCAAGGTTCAAGTATGTAGTGGATTAAAAACATCGTTTGTTTAGCATTTTAGACCCCCAAAGTCGTCAAAAATGTCTCAACATTCCAGTTCTATCCATGAGGTTATTACAATATATAATTGGTTTCTAGCTTGATTAAATCTACTGCCATGATCCCATAGTGACGTTGCTGTATTTTTGTGCAGATGAGCTTCTCGTATGAGTTGTTTGTGAAACTTATTGTGATACAATTACAGCCATTTGGCCTTGTGAACTTAGGGAACAGGTACATATCGATCTATCTTTAACTTTTCTTGCTTATAGCATGATGATATTTAGCAATAGTATTATAAGAGAAATCTATTAAGTTGTTGACTGACAATTTTTTTATGTAGTTCTTCTCTCTTAAGTATATTTATGCTTATCACTTATATTATTACTTTTGTAGTTGTTATGCAGATGCTTTCCTTCAGTGCTTGGCATTGACTCGGCTGCTAATATCATACCTTATTAGGGGATTACACTCTAAAACATGCGAGTAGAACACTAAAATAACTTTTACCGCTCTTATTTAAAACTCGGCTGCTCATTTTTCTCTCGGTGTCTTTGTCTTGTCTAATGCAGGTGAAGAAGCAACAGTCTCTGTCCCACAGTCCAAAGACAAAAACATCAGGTTTCACAGTCGCAACCGGGCAAGGATCTCCATCAGATTCGCCTGGAACTAATCGCTGGTTCAAACCAGAGATAGATGCTCCATCACCAATACGATCAATCCAGATAGAAGAAAAAGCCATGAAGGATCTGCGCCGCTTCTACAGCAGCGTGAAGGTAGTCAGAAACCAGCCTTGATGATGTGAGTGAATGAGACATTACTTTTCAAGAGCTCCAATTCTCAAAAGTCAAAACTCAAAAAGTGTTGTAGTTGTAATTGTACAGGGATCTGTTAGAACTTAGAACCAAGAACCTCACGGTGAAAATGAAGTTGTTTGATGCTCATTGTCACCTCCAAGACAAGAGGGTCATCGACCAAGCCTCTCAGCTCATATCTGCTGCTTTTAGCTGTCGGTGTAACCAATTTCGCAGTCAATGGACCTCCGAGGTAATTTCCTGATCGTTTAATCACTATTATCTACTATACTCATATATACATATTTTAAACGGGTTTTGTTTATGGAGACAGAAAGATTGGGACTTGGTGAAAGAGATGGGAGAGATGTATCCTTCTGTTGTACCTTGCATCGGAGTACATCCTTGGTATGGATTTTTGATGCAGAGTATTTCCAATTGATGCAAAAAGTTTAAGATCAAAACCAGTTTAAAATTGAGATTTCTCAAACTTTGAGTGATACCGATGAAATTGGAGCTGAAACTGAAAATTTTCTTGTGGATGCTATAGAATCTTCTGATTCCTCTCTACTTGGCAACGAAACTGCAGGAGGTACTGAAATCATAAAATGTGCTCAATCACGTAGTTACCATTTGGATATGTTATAAAGATACATTCAACAATTCAATCTATACTGCTTTTTTCTGCATTTTAAAAATATAACTATTTTGCTTCTTTTTAATTGAACAGATGAAAAGTATTTTGGAAAGAGACTCAAATTTCTCTATATTAATTAGTGAATATGGATATACACATACTTCCTTTTGTCTTTGCTTTCTTTTTCTTATTATTCCTATATATTTCAGGTACAATTAATCACTGGGGCAATTGCTGCTCTATGCGTGAGTTTGTTGGGTTCCTTTTTGGCTCAGGTACTAACCAATTCTATCGTTCTGAAAATCCAAGTTCAGGAGATTTTGTAATTGAGATTCTTTGCTGTAAAAGTAACACAGGTTCTGTGTGGGTTATGCAAATGCATACATGTCGTTTTGATAGTGCTTTGTAATTTTTTTATTAGCCACGAACTCAAGTACCAGTGAAAAGCACAATAGCTATTGGCGTGCTTGCCGCTGCGCTCGCATTTTTCATGGATGTTGCACAGTTGTCCGAGATGGTAAGCTGATATTTGCCTACATTACATGTATCAATTCTTAAGGAAAGATTTTCACCTACAATTAGAGGCAAACAGAAAATTGAGGGTTCATTATTAGTAGGATAGTGTTGATATTGTTGAAGTAATTAGCATTATATAATTGAGTTGAGACACGTCTAAACACACTCTATTACGGTAACCGATCCTTCTCTGAGTAGCTCACATCGGTAATTTATCCAACAGGTTAGTGTAGGCACTCTAATGGCATTCACTGTCGTTGCAGCCTGTGTGCTAGTTCTTAGATATGTGCCACCAGATGGAGTTCCCCTATCATCACATTGGTAAGCTGATATTTGCCTACATATATATATATTATATTATACCAATTGATGACAGAAATGTAGGTCTCAAAATATCATTTATATTTATACCAATGATGCCATTTTCTTTTTCTCGAATTCGCAGGTCTTCCCGGTTCAATTAGAGACTGTATTAACTAGAAGGAGCATACATGCTTCTTTATGCAAGGTGAATGAATAGAATACAAAGAGATAATAGAAACCCAACTCTTTAAGCAATGTTTGATTGATCTCAAGGCCTTTGGTAATAATTTTGAGTCTGATGAACTCAGTAAGCAATGTTTGATTGATCTCAAGGCCTTTGGTAATAAACTCATACAGTGACCATGGAGCTGCGCTTGGGGAGAAGGAACCTTTGGGTGGCCATATGAGGTAGCTGAAAAGGTAAGTAGAACCTTTGATTGATTTCTCCTCTTTTTGCTCTCTAATCTTTCCCGTTGGGATGTTGAGAAATCATGGAAATTGCCAGAAAATTTCTGTCCAGAATTTACTGATTCCACTAGAGAAATTAGAATTAGAATTGGTTTTGAAATTAGAATTGATTTCGGTTCGGTTTTCATTGCTTTTGAAATTAGAATTGATTTCGGTTTAGTTTTCATTGGTTCTGAAATTAGTTCGGTTTGCGTTGGAATTAATTAAGAAAAAATAAAAAGTCAGGCACGCGAGGCTTTTTAAAAAAGGAGCGAGTGTGTTTCAAAACAGGCCATTTGGTGGGTTTACACCCACGGAAAACGGAGACACGCGCTCAACTCGCGAGTGGTGAGAGTGGGCGTGAAATCGCGCGATGGGTGAGAGAGGGGTGTGACATGGAGCCATCTGATTGGCTAATATAATGAAAATAGTAGAGATGTAGCTCCTACCTTCCTCCTCTCATAATAACTTTTATTACTTCTTCACTTTTCGTCTTCTATCTTTGTGAATAAACAAGCTATGAGATGATTACAAAAAAAAAAACTTTTAGACAAAATTTTGTCTAGTTTATATTATTAGTCAGCTTGAGAATGAAATTAAGATTTCTTCAATCTGAAAGTTCATGTTTTTAGATACAATTGAGAGTCTTATTCTCAGGTTTTGGGTTATATTGAAATCCTTCATGTCACCAAAAGAACACAAAATTTTGTGAATTTGTATTGTGGTAATGTTTCATTATTATAAACGATTTTGTTTTCATAGAGTAAAACACACAACTTTTTGGAAAGTGATTTGACAATACTTTGTTTAACTCTCTTGATAACATCACTTCATTTTGACCACTGTGGTCTTAAAAGGGATTGCTCACAAACTGTTTTCTTTTTTTCATTGTTACAGCATCTTAATAATCTTCCATTTCTTTTTAAGAAAACAAAGATTTTTTTTCTTCAGTCCTCTGTTCTTGAGTTTGTTGTACCTGTGAGTTTGTTGTTGCTCAACTCCAATACATTTCAGGGATAGTGTTTGCGGGATTTTGCCAGAGAGGTTATTGTGTGAAAGGTCTAAGATCTCTACCTTCTCAAGATTTCCAAAACTTTGTGGGATCAATCCAGAGATGTCGTTGTATGAGAGGTTTAAAAGCTTTAAGCTTTTGAGATTGCCTAAAGAATATGATATTTCTCCGAATAGCTTGTTCTTGGAGAGGTCTATCAGAGTGTTGAGGTAGAGGTTTCTGTTGGCAAGACCTTGCTTTGAATTCTTCCAGTTCACTGCTAAGTCGTGTGTTTCGATAGTGAAGCTGTACATGAAAGGCAAAGGCAAAGACGAGCTCGGCAGAGATTCTTTCATGCTTGTGAGATTCCCAAGAGATGAAGGGAGAGATCCATCATCAAGATTGTTCTCTGAGAGATCCAAGACCTTGAGACTTGTGAGATTTGATATGCCTTCTGGGATTGAACTTTCGAGGGAATTGTTTCGCAGGATAAGTACTCGTGAGAAGAAGACAACCGGGATTTAAAACTCGGACGTTACCGAAGATTTTGTTGTCATGAAGATCAAGATAAATCAAAGATGGGGGATTGGTGAAGTCTTGAGGGAATTCGCCGCTGAAGTTGTTCTGAATCATTGAGAGCATTATGGTGTTTGATCCAAAAAAGGCTGGAACATCCCCAGAGAACTACTCATTGGAAGATATATCGAGTAACGCAAACAATGACTCGGGGTCGAACGTTGGGAAGTCACCTGGTAATCTGTTCTTTGACAAGTCATGCTTTTAGCTCTTCCTGGTTCCTTGAACAAGTATGAACTTTTGAACCCAACTTTGCTAGTAACCAATATTATATGTTTCTAATTTCTAAATTTTTAAAAGTGTCATAAGTGGTTAATGTTTTTCCGATAATTTTTGAGGTTAATGTTCTGGTTGTGTGCAGAATAATTTTTGTGGTTAATGTTCTTCTCACGTTTTTAAATTTCCAAATTGATCATAAAACGCCAGATTCAATGCTTCAATACTTATAATACTAATTAGTACTCTCAAATCAAAAGTTCTAAAAAATTTACGAGGAACTTCTCCTTTCCGTAACTAATTGGGATTCAGGGAACTTACATTTGTTTTTGAAATATCATAAACTATAAAGATGTATCGGTTTGAAATATTGTTTAGTCCGGAAACAAAATCGTGTTATATTACTGATGGTTGCGACAAAAAAAAAAAAAAACACAATGGATTTCAGTGTTGATAATTATTTTACAGTTGCATTTGTATGTGTTAAATTAAATTATTATATTGATATTTTAAATAAATTAATTTTCTTTATTACTACAAATCACAAAATCAAAAAGGCTAAAATATATATAGATCATATATCTTTTTGTGTTTATGTATGTAAACTAAAAAACACTAGAAATGTTAAAAGTGAAACGTATATGCAAACACAAAACTCAAATGATACAGTCAAGCTTTAGACGTTAATAAATAAAAAGTAAAAGCATGAACGTCCCACAATTTTAAATCTCCTTGTATTGGACTTTTGATTTTCCGTATAAACTTCGTTAATCTATTATCTAGAGTAGATTTATTTTACTTGTAAACTAAAATCAAATGTTTTTGACGACTTGGTGGGATATATTCATATATATATAAGGCATGCATGTTTCTCACGCAGCATTGCTCAATCCACAAAAGTAAAAAAAAACAAAAACACACACACGAACATTTCTATTTGAGAAAAAAAAAAATGAAAGGTCTTTTGCATTTTCTTTTAGCTAAAATCATTTTGTTGGCTTTAGCATCTTCGTTTGTATATTGTTACGACCCATCCTCTCTTCAAGACTACTGTGTTGCCACCAACGAAACTAATGGAGGTAATCTCTCTATTTGTTGCATAGACATGGCTCCTTTGATATTCTTCAATCTGGATATTATGCCAAAAATCATAGTAACATAATTATATCATTCAAACCTCAAAACATTTGTTTTGACGTTTTACACAGTTTATGTAAATGGAAAGTTCTGCAAAGATCCAAAATGTGTAACGACGAATGATTTCTATACTTCCGGCTTAAACGTCCCCGGAAACACCAGCATCGGTCCCGGCTCCAAAATCACCGTCGTGGATGTCGAAAGAATGCCTGGTCTCAACACTCTTGGGGTGGACATTGCCCGCTATGACTTCGCCCCGGGTGGTCTAGACCCACCTCACACACACCCGCGTGGCAGCCAGATCTTCTTAGTCATGAAGGGCAAGCTTTTCGTTGGATTTGTGTCGTCGAATGAATACAACTACACGCTCTTCACCAAAGTTCTTTATCCGGGAGATGTATTTGTGTTTCCCAAAGGTTTGATACATTTTCATGCGAATTTTGGGAAGACAAATGCGGTTGTGATTTCTGCGGCTGGGAGCCAAGAGCCCGGTAGGATCATAATAGGTGATGCGGTTTTCGGATCGAAACCTTTGATTGATCCCAAGGTTTTGGCTAAAGCTTTTGCGTTGGACTTGAACAAAGTGAAATATCTTCAGGCAGTGTTTTCTTGATTTTTTTTTTTTTTTGTGAACCAGGCAGTGTTTTCTTGATGACATACGTAATTATATAGCCTACGAGAATAATGATAAAATATAGATAACTAGTGTAGTGGATCGTGCTTTGCACGGCCTAAATACCAAACGTTAGAGATGGTAAGAACTATAATGTAATAGCACAACATAGCTCTATATCAGTCTCATCACTTATCCTTCTTCTAAGTAAATCTTAACATAGATAATGAAATCACAGATTTTAATGAGACTTTAGAAAGACCCACAAAATTGTACTTTATCATCCACAAGAAGAAAATTCATTCCTGTGAATTCCTCTGGTTTATCTTTTGTGGAAATCCCCAAAGACAAACACTTATCACCTTGATTTTACAAAGATTAATTACTGGAGTTATTTGAGAGATATGTGTAATATTGAGCGGCATAATTGGAGATTGGAATTTGGAATATGAACATGCAAATAAAAAGTTGTTTTTGTTAAATAGAGAAAATTTTATGAGCAGAGAAACTTATGAAATTTAGATAAGAGAATAGACCATGTGGGTCAGTGGGTTGACACAGTAATGCCAAAAGTCTAAAATTTGCAGACACAATAACACCAAATCACTTGAGAGAAGATAATTGAACTATAACGAAATTTATAAACTTGAAAAATCCGAAAACTTGCATAGAGGAAGAGACATGTGATTGATGATGAACCCTAAAAGTAAATCATGTAACGCCACCATACCCTATAGATGAATTGGAATCCAAGAAGGAAATAATGGGAAGAGGAGAGGCAAAGTAAGAGGCGGAAGAAATAATATTTTTTTCCAATTGTTGAAGAGGAAAGGTGATGAAGTGGGGAATATAGATCGTGGAAAAAAACGAGCAGTTGAATTTTTTTTGTCGTAATATTTTTTTTAATTTAATAATAAGTTTTTTTAAATTTAATAATAAGGTTTTTCTTGTTACAATCCTGAAAGGTGAAAAAATGGGACTTATGACAGGTGTCAAAAAGAGAATGTGGCAATTTTTTGTGAATTGACTTGTGCCTTATCAGATAGAGATTATCACAAATTAAGAGACCTGAATATTTGGATTTTTGGAATATACTACACTACTATTTTTTCAAGGAAAATAATGAATAAGCTAGGTTTTAATCTATTTTAAGAAAAAATATATGGGCCGAATAAAGAGATTGATGGGCCTGATTAAATGGGCACTATCCAGTTAAAGTACGCAAACAGAAACGTTTACTTTCGAATCACACAACTGACAACGATTTCGGTGAAGTTCGCCGTCGCCGGAACTCATGGATCGACCACCGTCGTTTCCTCACTATCAACACCCTAATCCGAACTTCTTCCACCACGTTCCTCCTCCAAATCCTAATCCTAATATCTTCTTCCGACCTCCTCCACCTCATCTTCAAAATCCTAACAATTACTCCATCGCTCCTCCGTCTCCGCCGCCGATTCACGAGCTCTCCGGTACACTCACTTCTTTACAATCCCTGTTGTCGGAATGTCAAAGAACCTTAGATTCTCTCTCGCAAAATCTAGCTTTAGACCACTCTTCGCTTCTCCAGAAGGACGAAAATGGCGGTTTCGTTCGTTGCCCTTTCGATTCAAATCACTTAATGCCACCTGAAGCTCTCTTTCTTCATTCACTTCGTTGCCCAAATCCTCTTGACCTCACTCATATTCTTGGATCCTTTAGTTGTTACCGGAACACGCTCGAGTTACCATGTGAACTACAGTTGAATAATAACGGTGATCTCTGTGTCTCTTTAGATGACTTGGCTGATTTTGGGAGAAATTTCTTCTACAGAGATTGTCCAGGAGCTGTTAACTTCTCTGAGCTCGATGGTAAAAAGCCAACTTTAACACTTCCTAATGTTCTATCTGTGGAATGCAACGATTTTGTAGTTTCTGATGAGAAGGAGAAAGGTAGTATGTTGGATAAATGGTTAGGGATTTTACCGTCTGATCTCTGTGCAATAAAGAGTGAGATTAATCAATGGAGGGATTTCCCAAGTTCGTATTCCTATAGTGTTCTTTCTTCGATTGTGGGTTCAAAAGCGATTGCAACGAGCGACTTGAGGACATGGATTCTGGTTAAGTCGACGAGATATGGTGTTATAATCGATACATTCATGAGGGATCATGTATTCTTGCTCTTTCGGTTGTGTCTCAAATCGGCTGTGAAAGAAGCTTGTAGATTGATAGAGTCTGATGCTAATGCTGTTGGTGAGAAGCAGATTATGAGCTGCAAAAGTAGAACATTTGAGTGTCCAGTCTTGATTCAAGTGTTGTCTTGGTTAGCTTCTCAACTTGCTGTCTTGTATGGAGAAGGAAATGGCAAGTATTTTGCTTTGGACATGTTTAAACAGTGCATAGTAGAATCTGCCTTTCGGGTAATGTTGTTTCAGTCAGAAGGAACAAGACCTAAATGCTCTGGAGTTCTCGAGGATTTGGATGATGCAAGCTTGAGTAATAAGGATGTGAAGATGGTGAAGCCCTTTGAAAATAGTTCAGGTGGGGAAGGTGGCAAAACTTTGGACAGTCCACAGGTGATTTCTGTGTCTCGTGTTGCAGCAGCTGTTGCAGCTTTGTATGAAAGATCCTTGCTTGAAGGAAAAATAAGGGCAGTTCGATATGCCCAACCACTAACGAGATATCAGCGGTAGATTTGAAATCTTTCAAAGGCGATTCTATTTGTTTATTAAAGCATCATATCATGTTTGGATCTGAGTTTGATTCCTCATGATGTCTCTGTCTGTCAATCTGTAGGGCGGCTGAGCTTGGTGTTATGACAGCTAAAGCTGATGAGGAACGGAATAGACGTTGTAGCTACCGACCTATTATTGATCATGATGGTCTTCCGAGACAACGCTCATCAACTCAGGTTAATACTAAACTAAATGTTATATAACATGAAGGAAACTAATATCACTGTAGGGAACTTTTATTGAAGGAACCGAAATTCATATATTTTATTGTCTATCATGTGTAGGATATGAATAAAATGAAGACAAGGGAAGAGCTTTTAGCAGAAGAGAGAGATTATAAGCGTCGGAGAATGTCATACCGTGGAAAGAAGGTGAAACGAACGCCTCGACAGGTAAGAAGCTGTTTCCTCTTCTGTGCCTAACTGCCCATGATAATCACAATTTTCAGTGTTGTGAATGTTTTGCTGCAAAATGGTCAATGTTTGGACAGTCTCATCGAAATATTGTTAGAAAAAATGTAGAATATGTTGGCTCTAGTATTGTATTGTTGAGGCATTTTGCAGATTTTATGAAAAAACTGATTCTTGCTATATTCATACTTTCAGTTATGACCACCATTCAGTTAGCAATAAACGTATATTATCCTCTTCTTTCAATGAGTTTTCTCCATCTTTTGTCTTGTAGGTGTTACATGATATAATAGAAGAATATACAGAAGAAATTAAGTTAGCAGGAGGTATTGGGTGTTTTGAGAAAGGAATGCCATTACAATCCCCGTCTCCTATAGGCAGCGATCAGAAAGAAAGTGACTTTGGATACAATACTGCACCACCAACATCAACAGACGCATCATCAAGCTTCTATAAGCAATGGAAAGGAGAGAACCGTGCAGCTATTGAATATCCAATGGATGACAGAAACAATTCAGATAAAGTAAAGCGGCATGTTGAGTATGATTCAGGTAGCTCGCAGAGACAACAGAGTCACAGATCATATAAGCACGGTGATCGAAGAGATGACAAGCACAGTGATCGTAGAGATGACAAATTCACAAGGAGCGAACGACATAGCCTTGAAAGGAAATCTTATCATCGAAACCACAGATCATCTCGTGAGAAGAGTTCTTCAGATTGTAAGACCAAAAGGGATGATCCTTATGACCGCTGCAGTCGGGAACCTAGAAATCAAAATTCTTTTGAAGATAGATACATACCAACAGAAAGGGAGTGAACTTAAAAGAAGGTAAGTCATTTAAAAAAACATCTGTCTATCTCCTTACCATCGTGTGGGCTAGTCTGACTTTGAAATGGGGTGGTTTATTCCGATGATCTTGCAGTAAAAGTTTACCTGGAGCATCAGCAATTATGTGTGAATCCGTATCCTCTTTTGTATCCTTAACCAATTTTTTTCCTTCTTTGATGCATCTAAGTGTTAACCAAATGTTGGTGATATTCTCAAATTTCCAGCTATCTCTTGCGTTTATAGATTCACTGTAGTTGCCATTCCTGTCTGTCTATATATTTTCAGTTTCTTTTTTCTTCTTTGGTTGTGACAGATTGAAGTTAATTCAAGTATGTTCTTGCTATGAACAAGCCATGAGCCATGAGATTGCTGGGAAGAAGTGCCAAACTCCATAATTGTGAGAGACTGCAATGTTTTAAGTCTACTATTACTTGTTACTTTAGAAAACGGTTGTAGACGACAGCACACCAGTTTAAGTGATGTAACCCGTACTGATTTTTGCCGCAAACTTCTCTAATTCCTGATAAAACATAGTTTTACTTAAATCAACAAAAACAAAAATACTGTAACAAAACTAAAAGCTAACCAGTAAATAGCGAGCTGAAGAGATACTTGCAAAGCAAGGAACTGAAACTGCTAGAGCAATTGGCCAACATGATTCTTCTAATGCTGAATAGAAACTTGACTAGATCTCTCCTTCCTCCTTAATCTCTTCCAGTTCCGGCCAATAATCAATTCTTAAAACCAGACCAAGATCTTTAAGACACCGAGTTCTTGCTAAATAGGATCCACCACAGAGTTTCACTATCTCCTTCTCAGTTTCCAAGTGATCTTCGAAATTGGATTTGGCTTCTTCTTCCAACTTCTCTCGTGCAAGCCGTTCCTCGCGTACGGCTTTCAACCTGGCGGCTCTAGTCTCAGCTTCAACTGTAGCTTTCACTTGACGTTCCCTTGTTTCTAAAAGTTGCTTTTCTTTCTTCATTCTCATCATCACATCAGCCTTGTTACTACTCTCGTCAATGAGCTTTCTATATCTGGCTTTCACGATAGCATCTGAAAATCGAATCCTGATTGTTGCCGCACGGAGAGCTTTCTTAGGAGATAAAGGCATTTTCATAGCAAACCCTTTTGAACCTTGATCTGATTTGCTCTCAGGATTATCCTTTTGTTCAATCCTGGAAACTTCAGAAGCTAACTTCTTCTTTACGGATTCCCATCTGATCTCGAAAACCTTCTTAAGCCTCTTAGCGTTCTTGTGAAGCATATTCTCAGGAGGATAATAGCGAACCGCGTTGGCGAAGACTAAGCGAACATCTTCCGGAAACTCTCGTACGGTATTTACGTAGAGATTCTTGTCGAGTTTAGATTTGATTGTGACGAAATCCATTGGCTTTGATATAGCAGAGAAATAATCAGGATTGTCCGTGACGAGGTTCTCAAAACGCCAACCAAACCATTCCTCTTTCAACGATTTTAGTACCTTATGACACCGACTACGCAAGGACAACTCACGATCCAGCTTTTGCTTCTTCTTCGTATTTGTCTGATCAACATTAACCTCTTCTACCTCTTTGGCTCCACGCTTCTTCCTCGATCGATTGGCTTCAGAGCCAACCTCTATCCTCAGTTTGTTTTCTGTAACCATTCTTACAAACTTGAGGAAAACCCGACAGAGAAACAGCACAAATTAAAACAGAACGTCTTCTCGTTCGATTATACAGAGAGTCAACAGTAAGAACGATTGAGGGAAGCTAGGGTTTTGATGTTTTGATGAAGTTTATGGAACAAGTGTTTAGACTTTAGATATAGAGTCTAAAATCTCCTGATTATATATTGGAAATAGAGTTAGGGCTGAACAAATAGATAAGAAAGGAAATTGGAAATTGGAAAAAAGGAAACTAAGTAATTGTTAGTCTAATACAAAATAGGATTTAGAAAGAAAAAAAAGGAAACTAATAAGTATTTTTTAGTTATCCTGATCACAGATAATGATAACAATATATCCACACTTAATTAAGGTTCCCATTTTAAAAACCAATAATCTATTTTTAATTCACTTTTCTTACGTGTGAAAAAAAGAAAACTTATGTATTTCAAGAAACCAAAGACATCACTCCGGGGACGAAGACGATAACCAGAGCCATTACTGATCTTCTCAGAAGAACCATCAATGGCTAATCCTTTACCACCAAAAAACAAATATCTGTTCATAAATGATCCATTTTTCTTCATCGCAGGTGTTCTTCCGAAGAAACCGTCTGAAACGGCGACGAACAAGCAGACGACAGAGCTCGAGAGTAATCGGATACCGCGGGAGGCGAAAACAGGAACCTCGGAGATTCCTGAACCACGACTCCTTTTATTAACCCTTGTGTGAATTTCAGTCTCACCGATAAACTCGGAAGATCACCACTCTCTGTTCTCATCGGAAACGCTCTTCCTCTGTTACAAGACGACGGCGAATACATCTCTTTGATAGGAACAAGACGACCGTTGTTGTCTCCGGAGTAATTAACGGCGATTCTCCTCCGATTCTTCCCTCTTCGCCCACCGTAAAAGAAGCTTAAGACGCGCTCCTGCACCGCCACCACCGCGGCGTTTGCGTTTCGAATGCGTCGAGATTTCAGTCGAACACTCATTGATTCCGTCAAAACTCTCTCTGTCTGGACTAGTGGCATATGAAGCCATCTATGGATCGGATATTCATTTATTTACTTGAACAATACGATCAAACTGTTAGTGATAATTGAGTTTAGTCTTATATTATTCTATATAACACATTATTAAGTGTGTTGTAAAGTCAACCGGTATGTGTTAACCGTGACTTGTTACGAAAGGGTGTGTGTAAGAGTTGTGACTTGTTGGATAAGACACAACTGTTACAACGGTTATCTACGGTTTTGTTATGTAGAAAACTATATAAGTGCAAGTGTTGTCCTCATATAAAGTTTTCGAGTAAATAAAACAAAAGTTTCGATTCAATCAAAAGTTTTCTATTTTGTTCTTGTCTTCTTTAAAAGAGAAGAGATATCTTCATTGCTTCAAAACACCAACACAAACAACTAAAGATAACTAGTGGATTTAATTTTTCTATAGTATAGCTTGTGTGTACGTAGCTTATGTGTATGATAATAATTTGAAATTTCTACAATTTTAAATGTGTGATTAATGTCTTGGTTGTGTGCAAGTATAATATGTGCATGCTTGTATACTTTGGTCATCAAGCAAAGCATAATCACTTCTTCTCACGTTTATATGAATTTATCAAATTTGCCCCTGTTTAATAACCGTTGTAAAATATGATGAAAGTCCAAAATACAACTGTTTTCTAAAGCATAATAGATCAATTTCTTCTGAATTTCTTGGAAAAAATGTCAAAGCATAATATATATATAGGAGATAACTAAAAAAAAATTATCCTTGTTCCGGTTAACATGAACTCATATGAGACGGTCAAACCTTACTCATATGAAGCCATCTATGGATTTACTTGAACAATACGATCACAAAAGTAAAGATAATTAGTGGATGTAGTTTCTCTTTAGTACATCTTGTGTGTAGCTTATGTGTATGATAATGTAACAGTGATTTAAAATTTCTACAATTTTAAATGTGCGGTTAATGTGTGATTAAATGTCTTGGTTGTGTGCAAGTATAATAAGCACTTCCCAGAATTCCAAATTTTCCTATATTGGGCCTTGATTTTTCCGTGGAAACTAGGTCCAGCTGATGTTCTACAATTTACTACTTGTAAGCTAAAATCATATGTTTGTGGACGACTTCTTAGGCTATATATACAGCGCATGCATTATTCTCATGCATCATCGCTCAAATCCACAAAATAAAGGGGAAAACAAACCACACAAACATTTTATTTCAATATGATGAAAGGTCTTGTTCAGTTTCTTGTAGCTAAAATCATCTTGTTGGCTTTAGCATCTTCATTTGTATATTGTTACGATCCAAATCCTCTTCAAGACTATACTGTGTTGCCACCAACGAAACTAATGGAGGTAATCTCTCTATATGTTGCACATACATGGCTCCTTTGATATCTTTGAGACAGGATATTATACCGACCTAGATTCATTAATAACCATTTAAAATGATTTTAATTATATAATCTAGTCTGATTGTATAGTTTATGTTTGTGTTGGCTGGTTAGAATATTAACTTTATATCAAACAAATAATAATTGCAACAATTTATATCATTTAAACCTCAACAGTAATCTTTATTTGTATTTTTCGCAGTTTTCGTGAATGGAAAGTTTTGTAAAGATCCAAAACTAGTAACTGCCAATGATTTTTATTATTCTGGCCTAAACATTCCCGGAAACACCAACAACCGCCTTGGCGCATCGATCACTAATGTTGATGTCAGCTTAATCCCTGGTCTCAACACTCTTGGGGTTGCCATTGCCCGCTTAGATTTCGCCCCCGGCGGTCAACTTTCACCGCACATACACCCACGTGCCTCCCAGATCATCTTAGTCCTCAAGGGAGAGCTCTCAGTCGGATTTGTGTCGTCAAACGAATACAACTATACGCTCTTTTCCAAAGTTCTTTATCCCGGAGATGTGTTGGTTTTTCCCATCGGTTTGGTACAGTTTCATGCAAACAACAATAAGAAGACAAATGCGGTTGCGATTAGCGCATACGGGAGTCAAAACCCCGGTGTGATCCCAGTAGGTAACGCGGTTTTCGGGTCAAACCCCTTGATTGATCCAAAGCTTTTGGCTAAAGCTTTTGCGTTGGACGTGAACATAGTGCGACATGTCCAGAGGGTGTTTTCTTCCGATGCTGACATAGTTAATTAGTTTAAAAGAATACCAATATACCTTTGTTCAAAGTATATATATACTAGATTTTAACCCGCGGTACACCGCGGGGCTATATTTTCTTAAAAAAATCAAAATATAATTTGTTTGATAGATTATTTTGATTGTTAATTTTAGGGTTTCACCTGTGGTATACTATCTTTTATAAATATCAACCCAAACCCGTCCCATCATATTATCCGTCCCGTGAAATTAAACATCATTTAGTTATTTTTCTTTTTAATAATACTTTTATTTAAAAGCTATATAATTCAAGTCAATTTAAAAATTTCTTTTAAATGGTTCCCATAAGATATATATACATATATATTAAATTTGTATAGAGTTGAAATAATATTAATATTACAAACTTTTTATATAATTTAAATATTATAAATATTTTTAAAAATATGCAATATATATTTTTTGTTATTGAATAAGAGGATATTATGTGTAAGAAATGTAGAAAATAAGAGTTTAATATTTTTATTATGGAGTCGCAAGAAAAATCTTTTATTTCTATACATGTTATTCGTTTATTAATAATAAAAGAAAATAAATCCTTTAAATTAGATATTAACTAAAATAAACGCACCATAATTACTTATTAAGTAACAACCAATAAATTTTACCAAAAAATAGGTAACAACCAATAGATTCTAAACGCAGTAATTAAAGAATGAGATATTAAAAAAAAAATATCAAATAAGATATAAGAATCTTAAAATAATTGAATATCTAAATAATTTAATTGTTAGTGTCGATTTTAATGCCTTCATTAATGTGGATTTTTTTTTTTACAGAGAAATATTTCCTAAAGATTATCACATTAATGACTCAGAAAATTAAGGAAGATATGAATTTATGATTCTCGAAATCGTGTTGGTAATATCTTTAATTAATATTTTTCAAATTTAAATAATTAATGTCAATGGCATTCATCCGTAAATACATTCCAACTCCAGGATTTATTTGCTAAAAGTCATCCAAAAATGTATATATAGATATATAATTTGTGAGTAAAAAATACAAACAATGTATGTTGTAATAAGTGTTGAAAATACATGGATTTAGATTACTGATTACATACGAAATAGATTTTGGTCTGAACCTAGATAACAAAAAGGAAACTAAATGGATTTAGATAATTTACTAGTTATCCCAATAACAAAAAACGTAAAAAATGTTTCCACACTTGTTAAAATCAATAATCTATTTTTCATTCCCTTTTCTTACATTTATATGAAGTTAATGTAACCCATGAGGGTTAGGTTACGTGTGACAAAAGAAAACTATGTATTTCAAGAAGAAACCAAAGACATCACTCGTTTGAAACTCTGGGGACGAAGCCATTACTGATCATCTCAGAAGAACCATCAATGGCTAATCCTTTACCACCAAAACACAAGTATCTGTTCATAAAAGATCTATGTTTCTTCATCGCAGGTGTTCTTCTCCCTAATTCCGAAGAAACCGTCTGAAACGGTGACGAACAAGCCGACGACGGAGCTCGAGAGTAATCGGATACCGCGGGAGGCGAAAACAGGAACCTCGGAGATTCCTGAACCACGACTCCTTTCATTAACCCTTGTGTGAATTTCAGCCTCACCGATAAACTCGGGAGATCACCACTCTCTGTTCTCATCGGAAACGCTTTTCCTTTGTTACAAGACGACGGCGAATAAATCTCTCTGAGAGGAACACGACGATTGTTGTTATCTCCGGAGAAACGGCGATTCTCCTCCGATTCTTCTCTCTTCGCCCACCGTAAAAGCAGCTTAAGACGCGCTCCTGTACCGCCACCACCGCGGCGTTTGCGTTTAGAATGCGTCGAGATTTCAGTCGAACACTCACTGATTCCGTCAAAACTCTCTTTGTCTGGACTAAATTCAGCGTTTGCAGCGGTTTGATCTGTTCTCGCCGCCGTGAAGAGAAAAATCTCAGAATCAGATATCTCAAACGAAGTTCCTGGACTACCGCAGAATCCATAACGCTCTTCTCTCAACCGCGAAACGTTTTCACCGCAGTTTGATCTCCCACCGGCGGATACAAGCCGTTTGATCAACAATTCAGAAACCACTGTTTTCGGCGTTTGGCGTTTAAGCAAATCAACGGCAGTCATTCCATAAGAATCAACGACGTTAAGATCAACGCCAGGGATTCTCATCAGAGTCTCAACGACGTCAGGTCTAACGGCGTTAAGAGTATCCATCACAGCTAAATGAATCACTGTTCTTCCGTTACCATTTCTAACGTTGACAATCTCAGAAAAGTCAACGGACCAGCTTCCTCCTCCTGAGACTAACTTCTTCAAAAGCTCCATCTGTCGGTCTAACCGCTTAAACCCAGACGCAGCAAAACCAGACACGACCGTGTGAAGAAACGTGTCACCATCTCCATTAACAACATAAATCAACTGTGGATATTCGTTTATAAGAGCTTCTACTACATCTAAATGACCCTTGTAAGCAGCTATATGTAAAGCTGTGTTTCCATGGCTGTCTTTAACCTCCATTATCGAATTATACTTCGATATAAGATACTTCACCACCTACATTATCATATTCATAGATCAGTATATGCATTAATAAATATGTATATGTGAATAATTATTTGATTTGTGTTCTTACTTGGATTTGAGCTCTGCTAGAAGCAGAGTGTAACAGAGTAGAACCATGAGCATCTCTGAGAATTGAAACGGCGTCGTATTTGCAAGAGAGTAAGAGTTCATCGAGGATTGCCACGTGTCCGCCTCTCGCGGCACTGTGGACCCCTCTTTTAACCATCTCCTCTTTGACTATTAACTGTTTCTCTGTTAATTTTTCTCCGTCGATTTCTTCGACGCCGGCGATACCAGCCGGCAACAATGCGAAATCGAGAAGAAGGCGGAAAACGTCGTCGTTTCGACCACGAGCCGCCGCGTAGAGGATATCAGTGACGCCGTACTCTCCTTCTCCGAAGACTAGAAGTGGATCTCTCTCTAGAAGCTTTTTCACGAATTCTAAATCTCCGGCGGAAGCGGCGGTGTAGAGCAACCAGCCTCCGTATCCAGCTCTGATGAGGGAGTTGTCTCCGTTTCCGATTTCGCACTCTTCCAATAGCCTCCTCGCTACGCGGGAACGGTTTAGAGCCACGTGGCAGTTATTCCCGTCTCCGTCGTCCCAGACGGTTTCGAGGCGGCGGATACGGCGGAGGGAAGTGAGTTTCACGAGGAGGTTTGTGTCTTGATGAAGAAGCTCGATGACGACGTCGTATAAACCATTTGCCGCGGCACAATCGATCGGTGAAGCGTACCACCACTGGTCACCGGTACTTTCCCACCGGAGAGGAAATATCGGCGGTGGCATTTCCGGTTTAGATAGTAAACCGGGTCTTCTTCGATTTTAGTGAACCAAAGATCAATTTGAATGGTTTGAAAACAATGGAGATTTTTTAACGACGAACACAAAGTGATGAAGCAGAAGAGAAGACAACAAAAAGGAGAAACCTTGAAGATTGTGTTGTTGTGGCGAAGACGGAACTTGTGTGTATGTTTCACCAGAAAAAGAAAAAATTAGTATTTTTGGGAGCATCGAAAATATACAGATTCCATTCCCGTGAGTGGACCATATCTTACGGGATTTATCTTTTTTTTTTTTTTGTAATAAATCATTTTATGATCTTCAAAAAGTTTTGTAAATTATGAAAAGCTGTTGATTTTTCAGAAAGAAAGAAGAATGTGTAAGAATATTTAAATGCAGCAAGAATTTGGTTATGGTTACCTTTTTCAGTAAAAAGTACTGACAATCCATTATTCAGTAAAGTTTAAAATGTTTAAGAAATTGTATAAGCAAATAATTGAATGATGGAGGTATTGGTAGTTTTGTTACTTTGTGCACAATAAATCGACATGTAATTGTTCTAAATAATCTAAATTTCGAATAATGTAGACCAAAGAAAAAGTGCCCACTTGTGGCAGCTAACATTTGAGGGCCCTTATTATTAATAATATCTAATCAATAATTCATTAAATATGCATGATTTGTAGTTAAAGCTTAACCATCATTATGAAGTTGAAGAAGACTACTCAATTTTATTTTATTTTATTTTAATAATAATTTCAAAAATACCCAAAACTATAAATTTTGTTTTGTTTGGGGTAATATGGATCTACCTATGTCGGTGTGAACTGTGAAGTGTGGACGCATCTTAATGCACATGTATTTGTCTATAAACTCAATGCTCATTAAAAAAAAAAAAAATCTTGGATCCCACTTATGTACACTCCCATAAATTAGTCTTGATGTGAATAATCCTGGCATAACTCTAGATCTCGATATGTCTCAATGAAGAGACGTTTACAAAGATTGAGTCAAAACAGACAACAAACAAAACTTGCGATAACTTCTTATCATCAAGATTGTGTCAGAATCAATCAACTCCAGAGTTCCAAATCTTAACAACTCTTCTTGAATTCGAAGTCCGAGTTTCTTATGCATTGACCAAAGAACTTGAAATCTACACTACAATGTGCTTGAATAAACAACACAATGACCATCTTTATGCATGGTCCGGTCTTGTTTCTTTCTCAAGCAGGAAGAGACCACTTCTCATCACAATCTGGTAAGCAACAGTCAAGCCATTGTAATAACTAATAACCTCACTTTACAGGGGCAGTAAGTTTCACAGTCTTCATGATGTGTTCGATTCTCTCAGCGGATTCATGCATATTCTTCTTCTTGACCTCTTCCAAAAGCAGCAAACAAGTCCGGTGCCTCGGCGTGATATCTTGGCTAATCATCTCTTCGAATAGACAATACGCCCACTCACATATATTAGCTCTGCATAACCTCTGTATCAGAAACGTATAAGTCGATTCATCAAGGCTGAGATGATGTTTAGTCACCATTTCTTTCAATAATTTCCCAACCTCAACAACATCTCCTCTCTTAAAACAAGATCTCAGCAGAGGTTGATACGTATGAACATCGGGATTACAAAGGTTTGAACTTTCCATTTCC